ACACATGTCAAGAGATTGTTTCCAGTGCCAAATTAATTGCAATGGAGAAAGTCAAAACATTGACTACGTAGCTTGTGAACAATCTCATTGACATCTGGGCAACCTGGTTTGAACTTGTTCAAAAGATGCTAACATGTTTGAAATTCAGTGATTTAGAGACGTCTTCATGGCCGATATTCCAGGTTCAAATAAACACTTTTGTTTTCTTCAAAATCAATCACGGTAGATTTGCGTAACTTAATCGCCAATTACAACTGCACTTAAAGCAGATGTCACTGAGACTGTACAAGCTACGTTTACAAACAGACAGGAGGGTAACGTCATCTGTTTGAGTTGGAAAGGTGAAGAGCATAAAGCATCCAGCAAATCACGGATAAAATCTCTAAACAGTCAAGGAGAAATAACATTTCTTTGTCGTGCACCTTATCTTAAACCATGTGAAAATAAAACCTTTGTGCAATACTACACTGTAGATATTTGAATACATTGAAGCTATGGTATTGATGTACTTTGATTTAAAACTTAAATCGTCTATACCAAACACAGTGAAATGCTTTTGCAGCATCGGGGACACATGTAAAATGAGCTATTATTATCAGATGCAAATGTTAGAGATTCTTGGACCAGAAATGACGTCATAGTACTTCTGACATTTTTTGAAACCCATTCTGTAAGGAGTTAGATATAAAAAGTTTTGTATCCTCAAGCGTAGTTAGAAAGAACTTTTCAAAGTGGTCCATCAGGAGCGACGATTCATCCTCAGAATGAAAGTAGGAGTGAACTCTCTTGGCATCCAAACCATTGCAGACGGTTTTGCTGGAGAGTGTATGAGTATACAGTATGACATTGCAACTGACGGGAAAGTGTTTAACGAAAATCAGAATCTTTACATAATTATATGAATCTATGAATTAACAAAAAAGTCAAGAAAAAACGAAAAGCAAATCAATAGTTTAATATCAATGATGAAAGATGGCACTCGGGTTTTATTTAAATGTGTTTTCCCTGACAATTACTCCTTACATTAGGTTTTATCAGTATATTCTTGATCGTCAATAAATCACTAAGAATTTTGCACAAGTTATTTGAACATTATCAAATTTCGTTCTTTATAATTTTATTTATAGTACATATAACATCCATCCTCCACCTCTGGGACATGTCATGGCAAAATTGAAGGCATATGCGAAGTAATTTGATTATAGGGCCGGTATTCATGTAACCATTCTCATGCTCAAGCATAGATTTTGTACTCAAGCAAACTTTTTTATAATTGACCTAAATCATATGAACTGATACAAATGTCAAATATAAACATTGAATATAGCTTTGGCTTGAAGTCCTTTCAAATTGTTTTTAAATCTTTGGCAAAATCAGCCTTATATTTTTTCTTTTAACTTAAACAAGACGTAAGGCTTGAGCACAAAATTCATGCTTTAGCACGAGAACGGTTTCAGGAATACGGGACCAATCACAATCTGATACGTTCCTTTTGAAGATTACAAAAGAGCTACACCTCACTTCAAAGCAATTACAAATATACCGTTATGCGACCTCGAGATGCTTTTGATGTATATAAAAGGTTCAAACTAGTCTTTTCGTTCCGTTCGTACGTTTATCTTAACTCTAATTTTTGTTAATGTGTACGATCCCATCCAGAACAGTCAATGAATTGATATCGTAACAATAGTTCATTTTTGGCCTTCAAAGCTATAAAGGAATATTCATGTATAGTGTAAATGTGAGATCAAATCCATTATCTTCTTTTGTAATTTAAAATTATACGGAGATTTGCAGTACGTAGCTGTGGGGGAATGTCACTGAAGTTAAAGGTGTGTGTGTGTGTGTTTGTGTGTGTGTGTGTGTGTATCTGTGTGTGAGAGGGTGTGTGTGTGTGTGTGTGTGTGTGTGTAAAACGTTTGTAGCTGTTAAAACAAAATTTCTTGACCAGTTTCAAAGAAAGGACTCTCTACCAAGGACTATGAGCATCGCTTTTAGCTGGAGTGTTTCAAATTTTTCTGCATCGTTTAGTGTATAACCGACCTTTTCTTCGCAACAATTTTCAAGAAAGAGGAATGAAAAGAAATTTGATTCTTTAAGGTTTGAAAATATTATTGATTTAATAAAATTATTTCATAATTTGCATAAAAATACCTAAATATTCAAAGTGTTCAATAATATATATATCACATTGCTAAGAATAGTAAATGTTGAACGCAACATTGCAATTTCAGATGAAAAATGTTTCAGTTTGAATGAATTACGACTAGTCAGAATGCTCAAACTTGTTTTTTTTTCCAAGATCTTAATCTTAAAATTACTAGTAAATATTATCACTACTTATACGTAAACGCACTGACAGTGCAGGGTGAAAGTTATTTCATGTCAATGTCATTACAGAGATAAATGCATTTTACAAGTGAATTCTGCATAGTCTGTTCATAAAGCCGACACTGTCTCCTTCATGTAATGTAGTGTTGTTGTTAGGCGCTGATAAAGGGCATATTGTGTTGGAGGGACGGATAAACCACTCTAAGATATACTGCTCGACCCCTCTAAGAACTGGTTTGTTTTTTGCTGGAAGCTTGGTAGCTCTTAACAAATTCGAAGTTTAGAAATATTTTCCTCCCCGGGGAAGGTTGGTCGTCAAAACTCTCAAACAAAAACTCCATAATCCTCAATTTCCCTGTCGGCATTGAAATAAAGGATGATGGAATTTTTTGAGGGTCGTGAAGACCAAACTTTCGTTGGTGGCAAGGCACCTGACAAGTGATTGCCACTTCTCAGGTTTCCTTGGTGAACTACCCTATCGATAACCTCCAAAATTAGTCCACTAATGATAGAAATAAACTGTGGTGAAGCCATTGTGTGCATACACCCGCTGTCTCTACCCTGATATAAAAGGCAGGTATTTATATTATCTTTGACGTTTTTAATGATGTGTGACATCCTTGTCTCTACCAGGATTGAGACTGATGGATTCCCCTTCCATTACAATGTTGCAACAGAGATGCAATAAATAATAAACTACTATAAAACATCAAAATTGTACAAATTACAATATATTAGCACAAACACAACATAAAACGTCAAATACACATTTATCCATATTTATAAATTCCAGTACGATTGGTAAATTTATCAACAAGGTTGCCGGGAAAATAGTATAAAATATCTAAACAATAGGTGGAAATGAACTCTTCTCTGTGACACATATCATTACGCCTGCGCCTCTCTGATTAGTCCATGTTTAATTCAAACAAAAGAAACCAGGACTAGATGTGTAGTAAAGAAAGATTTACACGTTTTTTTCCATCGACGATACCCACCGTGTAAATCATGGTCAATGAAATTAAATAAAATTTTGTTCGTAAAAGAGAACAAGACAGCAGTACAAGGTTTCTCTGTGTGGCCGTAGGTGATATTCAGTTCACTAGATTATCCCATTATAAAGGTTTTAATCAAAAATTTTAAAAATAAATGTTTGCTAAAATCGGTCTTGTCATTTTGAAGTGGACAATGTTTATTGTGTTGGAAATTACTATATGGGCAGTCTCGTATCTAGTTCTACGCACCACCTGCTTTACAGGAAGTGGAATTTTCATAGTGTTTACACGTGGTCATGTTGTGAAGGATTTCCGACTTTGCAGGAATGTTAGTAGTTTGTTACCATGACACTGTTGGTGATTTTAAGACAGGTGTTCAGAAATAAATTTCTTGTAGTGTTAGGTTGGAATTCGCAGCACTTTTGCTTTTAAGCATTTTTGAGTTGGTAATCAAGGCAATCACATGTCAGAAATCAGATGAAAGTTTTGATTTACAATTTTTTAAAAATCTTTTTACTGTTAATGTAATTGTTATGTAGTTTATAAATATATATATATAAGGATGTATTTTTCATAACCAAACTGCTTTACCAGTATATCTCAAACATGACCAATAATTTCAGGAGAAATGCAGATTAGCTGTTTCCTGCTACCCAAGGTAAACAACAACGAAACCAACAGGCAACAAGAGTAATAAACACGTCCATCTTCAAATCAAACAAAGAAATGGAATATTTCTCAACGAAGTCACTGTGACGAACCGATAACTTCCCCATAAGCTTCGTCAAACTACATCATTTAAATCGTGAACCGGCCAGTTAACATTGAATAAAATAGATTGAAGAGTCAGTGGTGTTGTTATCAAGAAATGGGAAATTGAAATCATTATGGTTTTCACACATCTTGCTGGAAATATGTCCACGTTGGTTTCGTTGTAAGAAAAGATCGAGCTAAGCGTCTGATGTAGAAAAGTGGGTATATAGATTTATCGGGTCAATAAAGTTCGTTTGTGTTCTTTAATATATCTGAAAGTGAAATTAAACGACATTGCAAGGTCTAAGTGACCTATTTTGAAAACCTCCTTAATAAAGTCACACTCATATAAAAACGGAAATCATCTAGCCAACAATGCGGCCCAGTTAGTTCTCATAAATATGCTAATAGTCAGTTCTAACCACCAGACGTGTCGAAATAGTTGTCAACTGGGAACTCGATCATTTTCATGATTTCACCCTTCGTATATTTCTTCTTTAATATGGACGTATTTTTCAGTATGGTTATGTCGTCTAGTTTGCTATGATAAATTCAAGATAGTCTGAATGTATGCTCATTCTCAGTTGATGATTAACTTTGGACATTAGCCTGAGTCAACAAATATATGGAAGACTAAAACGTCACAAGAGAACACATCCAATTGTCTCAGTGACTACGGTGACGTTCTTATATTCTGATGAGTTGTCGATTGGGGCAATCTTGTCTATGGCAACACATTACACGTACCTTAGCAACTTCTAAATTATTATCTGAAGGATCTCGTCATGTGTGTCTTTTTGTTCCTTCCATCAATCAAAAAAAATAAATAAATAAATAAATAAATAAAATACATGCACGTATTTATGGCAAACATATGTGCGCGTCGTTAATAACGATGAAGTACAAACTCAAACCAAGAAACATTTTTGTACACTTTATTTCATATTCAAATCTGATGAGCTGACGACACATTTGGTCACATGACATTGTTTAAGCTTGGCTTAAACCACTGGGAACATCTAACAAAGTGGAAAATACACGTGCACTGTACTATCAAAAAGTGCGAAATAATAGTTACCATGGATACGCACGCGAAAAGACCAACAGTTCATCAACAAATATGTACAGGATTTCGGAAACTGACCTCTGATAAAAACCTGACACATGATGGCACTACGTCATAACAATCTACACAATACTTTTTAAGAACAGCTATCACAGGCATCACAAGTGTCGGAACATTGGAAATTATCAAATAAATCTAACGGAAAACATCAAAATAAAGTTTGTCATATGAATATATTTAGCTTAAATTTTATTTAATTTTGAACGTACGGCTAAAACATATCCCAATTTGCAGGAAAATATATAAAAAGTATTTCAGTTTATCTTGAATAAAATAAACATCTTATCAAAAATTCTGATTTTAAATAAATAATTAATTGTCTTGTGGAACATAAAATCTGTAATTTTCCTTGATATAAACACTGGAACAACAGTCTTCACACCATTTTCATCAAAAAATAGGTTAACTATTGTGATGTCTATGGACATTAATACAATTCTCAATAGGCTATGAAAGGCTATAATATGTCTGTATTTTTTCTTAAATCACATGATACTTCAGTTTAATTTTGTTTTAAAAGATTCTGACCACCTTTAGTTTTTGTTATCAACATCAAATATTAGGAAAAAATCACAAGGAGCACTTGTTATGCATCAAAATAAACCTGTGTTTTTTGTGTTCAGCTATTCCTGATTTTTACAAGCATTTTCTTGTGCTTAAAATTCTATGTTTGTTTGACATAAAATTTTAAGCAAACTCATAAACACATCTAAGAAACTTCCGACCAAAATGTTTGACAGGCTTTCGTGATCGGAATAATCTTTTAAAGGGTATTGACGCAGGAGTAAGTATATGGTTTTCTTTGTGAAAAATAGACACTACAGTATACCCATTCATCTTTCATAGAAACAAATGGTATAGTGTTGTGAAAAATAGACACTACAGTATACCCATTCACCTTTCATAGAAACAAATGGTATAGTGTTTGTTTGAAATATACAAAGAAATTCTATAACAAAATACTTTTTTCAATGCTTATTCTAAAACATCAATGGCGGTATTAAAAGTAGAATAAACAATATACATCATCAGCATAGAATCAGTACACTATCAGCATAAAATAAGTACATTATCAGTTTAACTTCTAAACATTCCAAGCACTAAAAGCGATAAAGAGTGTCTTTGTCACTGAGAGGGTAGACACAGGCAGGCACAATGATACAAATTATTTTTTTTATCAAAACTTTAAAATAAATGTAATCAAAATATGTTGACATTAGCACTATTTCAGGTCTATAAATTATACACATTTTCACACACACCACATGAAAAATATTCTTGATACAAACATGATGAACGATATCATGCTTCCATTCTTTTTACTTAGGTTTATAAAATGTTATACATTGTTTCTTAAACATTACACTCCCAAATCACCGGTTGATATATCAAATATCAAAATAACTGAACACTAAGGGCAATGACAAACAGGAAATTCGAATTCTATTTCACTTTGCTCTTTCGTACAACATACTTTGTATTAAATGTTTTGTGAACAAAACAACGTACCACCTTTAAAAAATCTATTTTACTTGACTAGGTAATATGCTGCGAGACAGTTTGTAGATTTTCTTCATCAATCTTATGCTCAAATGAAAAACACAATTTACATGTCGGACAAGTAAAAATTCATAAAATAAACTAAAAACTATTGATTCACAACTTTCCGGGCAATTACTTAAGGAATTTGTTGAAATACACGATATTAATTATTTAATTAATATCATTGTCAAATAAATAAGGTTGATCACACTTGGGATAATTCAGATCTGTCGTTATCAAAATAACACGACGCCAATATTCGTTTTCAACAAATGATTTTGGATAAGTTACCGAGTAATCTTGTAAAAAAGACAAAGTTTTTACAGATCAAATTAATGGCACTAGGGTTTTGTTTTTAAATAATGCACAATGTCCCCAAAATACTTTGGAGCTGAATATTGAATTAGTGGTTTTGAAGGTGTGGAAATTATATGCATGACTGAATCCTTAAAAAACCATTGAATGAGTTGACAGTTATACTCTTACTTATGACTTTGAAATATAAATCCTATACGAAAATGAATAAAAAAGCTTTCACTTTTTACGGCATCTTTAACAGTCAAATCACCAATTTCTTAAATATTTAAGGACGTAGAAATCCAATTAAATATTTGGAAAATTAATGTATCTCAATTTGTTCTCACAGTTTATCTGTTATTTTATGTTGATAACACTCAAGAAATATATTATTATGCTCCAGAATATTTGATGTTTGAACAGAATTGTAATCTCATATTTCTGTGACCAATAAAATAAATATCGAACATCTCCATGAGATGAATAAGGAACACATCTTGCATTAAACACTACCGAAATATATCTAAAACTATAATGTACAAACCGTACATAGAATTCAACCTATATCAATGCAATAACAATTCAACACTTTAAATGCACAACATTTTCATAAGGTCATCAGTCTTAATATATATAATTCATTTTGCAAAAAATAGTCAACAAAAATATGAAAACGTTCGAAAATATTTATACATTAACAACACCAAAAGGAATGATGTGACATTTGCCCATAACTTAACATGAGAAACGGAGACAAACAATGTGCACGTGGTTCAAATAGTTAGAAAAATAACCATAGACACTGTTTAGGCATATTGACGTAGATTCAGACCGCTTGCTATGTTAATAATAACTGCTATTTTGAAAATCTTGAGATTTTCATCATCGGCATTATGACTTGAAGACAATTTTGCATTTCGGTCAACTTTATAGTTATGACATGTTCATTCACACCTGCTTACTATGTCATATGCCTTTATGCTCTACGTTTAAAGTTTTTTGTGAGACAATGGTGGAGTGTTTACAACACATGGATAGACTGGCAGTACAAAAATAATCTAGTTAATGGTACTTAAGTATGATGAAGAGATGAAACGATGAAAAAACGTTTAGAAAGGAAGAGATCCCGACAGATACAAAGACTCGATTTGCGCAGGTGCTTGAAACACTTTGTCTAGTTTGAAATGAAACATCCTTTGAAGACCTTCTCTGCTAAGAGAACGAAGTTCGGCCACTTTGCCAAGAATGAGCGAGAAGAAATGAGGTTTTCTCTGAGCTTCACTGTTGTAGGTACAATGATCACGAAGACAGTCAATTATCTTCATTTGCAGTTCTTCCATCTTTTGTGGTTCCTGAAGCCCATGACGTACTGCAAAGGTAAAGAAACATTACTTTTATGTGAACACAAATACAAAATTCTAAATACTTTCAGAGCCGTCGTGTATAATTCAGTAAAACATAAAGTGGCATAAAGTGTATGATGTTCAACATGAACACTGGTAACGTTATTGCTGAAGTGCACTTAAAATCATTATGAAAACCGGGAGGGCACTTAAAATACAATTTCGTTTGATAATTATCTCTTATATCATTCAAGTCGGTGTCTTTCTTAATATGTCTTTCTCTCATGGTTAGAGCCAGCTAACCTGTATTGGTTATTAATACAAGCCTGATTTCAATCAGAAATATTAACAAGCTGCTTAAAGTCTTTTTGTGGTAGGAAACCGGATTATCTGGAGAAATCCTATATGATTTGGCTGGTGACATCATAACTTTTCACATTAGACCAGCTAATCAACCTTAGTCGTCTTGGTGAAATGTACGTGACTTACTAATGTGCCACCTGACCACTCGATTAGCATCTTAAGTCATATCAATTTCTGATAATCAGTGTATTTTGTAGCACAGAAATCATTTACTCAAAATACACGAAATATGGTTTCAGATTTTCAAGTCATCGAAAGGGGTTTTTGCATAAAACTTACAGGTGACCAAGGCCAGTGCGGACATGCATGCTAAAGATGAAATATCAAGCGTGTTGCGATGTAGAGAGAGACCGAAGTCGATGATGGAATCGATCCAGTCTCCGAACATTGTAGAACATTGTAGTCGGTGTAGGACGAGCCCATTCTCAAATATAACCTTGTCGTCGTTGGGTTGTACCCTGAAATGACATTACAAGAAATTTGTCAATAAATGAAAGGAAATTTCGACTGCGGAATGGACAGATCAGCATTAATGCTTTCATCTCCATTTCTGTTTTTGCAATTGTTATCAAAATATTGCATTGAAAGGGAAAGAAAAACAATACTGCGTTTAATTCAATTTATATGTCGCTATTCCACAATTTTAATTTATTCCATCAGATTCAAGTATGCATTTGTAAATACCTGTATGCTATACGTAATACGAAGAGTTCAAGTGAAGCAGATTGGAAAAGAAGTTCCTGATCTTCTTTAGAAAGATCACCAAAACCAGGTATACGTTCAGCCCATGTTCTGATGACGTCGATGCATGAAAGAAGGATGTCATAAAAGAGGCGTATGCAGTCATCAGTGGTTCGGGGACTATCCTCGGGAGAAGGCACTTTGAACTGAAAGAACAGGAGTGATACATAACTCAAAAGAACGAATTGGTCAGATGTTGCATAATTAGGAACGATAGGTACCGGGATATAAGACATTTGTCATCCTTATATGACAAAGTTATCGATAAATCCATGGCTCATACTTGTAACAGTATCCCCCCAGTTTCCTTGTATAATCAATGATAAGAGAGACATAAAATTATTTTGACTTGCTCATTTGGCCAATGTATGATCTTTACATTCTTTTTAATATCGTATTAATTTCTTTGTGTTCAAATTTAAGAGCAACTTACTCGTGAGTAATCCAAGTTCGGGATATCGGGACTCGTGTCTACATGCGCGCGGACTAGAGAGGTGATGAGGCTGACGGGCGGTGATGGGGGAGATTCCTGTGGACTCTTTGGCTTTGACGGTAACCTTCCACGGCGACCTTTTAAATTATCAGTTCGTACAACTGGAAATAGAGCAGATAAAGTGTTAGGGGTTTTGGTTACCAATTTGCACAAAAAATCAAATCATGTCCAGTCGTGCTGATACATGTGTCAACTATCAGCATGCTTTTTATGAATTATACCCAAAGATTGTGGAAAAGACACACAAGTGAATGTCACCTTTCACTACAAATTTAGTATAAGATATAATGGAGCCAAATAATGAATTAGACTGCATCTTCTAGCAGTTTTTTTCCGTCTGGGACTCGTCACCGATGCTAATGGCCTAGAGTTTGAAACCTATAAGGCGGCTGATGAATTGCTAGAATCTAGATGGGAAGTCGATGTCGTAATCTATAAACATATGACATTATCCAACATGATATTGATTAATATATTCTCAAAATAATGATAATAATATTATGTTGGTTTCCTCAACCCGTTCAAATTGATTTCTTACAGCAGACACGAACCTATTCCCAACTAGTATCTATATTACACTTAAAAATTACTAACTTTCCTGAGAGATTTACGTTCAATGAATTCATTACTACTTAAATGATAAACAGATAATGTTGACTTGGTTTATTTTACTAGTGGAATGGGTAGCACAGATAATGTTGACTTGGTTTATTTTACTAGTGGAATGGGTTAGCATAATTTGTCCACGAAATAAACTGCCAATGTAAATGTATGTTTTTTAGACTCATCCTCACCTTCTTTTACCATGCCGACCGCTAAGCATTTTTGAAATCGACAGAACTGACATCGGTTTCGTCTTCGCTTATCAACAGGGCAACTCTTATCTGCTAGACAAACGTACTTAGCGTTCTTCTGGACTGTCCTCTGCAAAAATCAAAATAAGGTAGTTTTACATGATTATAAAGATATTGAAGCGTTTTGGCGAAAGAGTTTTAAAGCTTCCGAATATCAATACATTTGTCAGACCTTTGAAGTCACAACTTAACACTTAATGTTTTTGGTGATGAAAGAATCATGAATCTGCAGTATTTTCCTAAGGGTGTTTTTCATTTTAGTTTGACATTATAATTGGGTCGTGGGTACGCATTAGATGACACAAGTACAACTGTAAAGTGTTTATCACAACTTGTACGTGTGGGTGACGATATTAAGGTCGTGAAAGATAAAAAAATCTTAAGGCAGCACAATATCTTCTGTGTTGGAAAAAAAGCTAAAAAACGTTTATAAAGTACAAATTAAGTAGTTTTAACATTGTTTACCTTGAAGAATCCTTTACAGCCTTCACAAGTCCTGACACCATAATGCTGACAAACAGCATTGTCCCCACATACAGCGCACATAAGGGCTTCTTTCTGGGGTTGCTCCCTGCCTGGAGACGATCGCGTAGAACTAGGGGTTGAAGGTGTAGTTGGAGACTGGATATGGTACTTCTGTAGTTCTCCACTGTAATTAAAGATACGGAGAATTGTATATTAATATTTTTACCGAAACATATGTGGACGTATAATTTGAAAACTGTATTGTTTAAGAAATAACAGTGTAATTTGTATTTCAATAAAAATATTATCTTACACAATATTTTTATCGTATTTGGCTTCCTACTGGTTCTATTTCGGCCAAATAAATCTTTTCCTGGTATGATTTTCATAAAAATGTGTTTATACTTCTTTTAGAGAGCAAACAACCGTAATATTATCTTCGAACAAAATAGTACACACAATAACTATAACAGACGATTCACCAGCAGCTAGCATTTGTCAATTGAGATAGAACTCCATTTTGTTTTGCTGATAGAGTAACAATGTGTGGTATTATCAATGAAACTATTTTGTTGCTGTATATAAGAATACATCAGAATATCGGCATTGTTCTTACTCTTGATTATTTTCTATTGGCCTACCTCTCTGCTGCTCGTGATGGCATCGCAATGGTCAAGGCGGGCCGACGTGAAAATTGGGGACGTCCAGAGTGTACGTTTATCTCCCCCTGATAGGCTGCTCCACCGACAGGTGGCCTGTCACTTATATTATAACAACTTTCAGAATGAGGTAATGTTCTGTTTCCGTAAAAGTGTGGATTGTACCCTTGGAAGCCAACACTTTCACGAGCATATGAACCTGAGTTTTCACTGAATGTTTGGGGCGAAGAGAAGGTAGGCTGCTTTTGGTCCATATCTGTGAACCCCGTTGTTTGAGGAGATAGATAAAGATCATGGGGTGGAGTATAGTTGCAATGTCTTTGAAAAGGTTTTTGACTTTCGCTGCTGATACGCTGTTGAAAAAACCCGCAATCGGGGGCAGGGAAAGTCTGAAAGCTTCCTTCATACGTCATAATTGGCTCCGTGTATTTTTGTATCTGCTGTGGTGGCTGACTGTCAACAGTACTTGTGGTCGGGGTAGAATCTGTAAACACATTGAACTGTTTCCCGATTCCACTGTCTTTTTCAAACATAAATGTACCCTCGTAACTGTACGACTCGGGATAACTTTGACTGTGACTCGTTGTTGCGAAACTTTGCGGCTGTGTGTCGAAACCTCCATGAAATCCCGTGTCCACACCACTATCGGTGAGGGAGAAACCCGCATCCGAAGAGTAGTCGGCCATGGGGAAACTCGACGTCGGGAATATCCCTACCTCGGCAGACATGGCAGGCTGTGTGCTACATGTCGTGAATGTTGACCCCAGGTCACTTGAAAACCCGGATGAAGCCGTGCTGTAGGACGCCTACAATAAAGCAACACCAAATGGAGATGACATTATACAATTAAAAAATCCGACTTTGAAATTCAAATGGAATCATGATATCCTTTATCTAAAGGCTAATTTCAAAATACTAATACTTGTGACACTGCCATTTATGAACTTTTATCAACTGCTTTAATTATTCGATAAAATGATTCAATTACACCACTGAAGGACGACACGTCATGACCGATAAATATTTATCTTTATTTGAGTTCAATAAACAATTTCTCCGTCATTCGAAGCGGTCTTTTCGCAGAGGTTGTCGTCTGAATACGCGTATACGTAACAGAACGGACTCACAAAGACAACACATATGATAAAATTTAACTTATGACAATAAATGTTAAACTCAATGACTAAACATAGTGACGTAATCAAACATGGCAAGCCAACAATGAAGTATACCTTTATTTAAGTCCGAGGTTCCACCGTAAATAACACAACATGCAATTGAACTGTTCTACCAATTTCTATTGACTCCTTTTTAGTTTTTAGTTTGAAATTCTTTTAATACAATGTATATATCTTTCTTCTCTTCTAAATTTTCTTCGATTCTTTAAAGACATTTGGTGGGAGCTTTCTCCGATTACACATAGAAAACTACTTCAAAAGTAAAATCCACAAGCACAACGAGAAATCTATTTAATTAATCAATATTACTTAATGATATGATATCATATTGCAGATAATATGTAATATAACGTCACATTCCTCGCAGTATGTTAATAGTATTACTTAATGCAAGAATTATGTGGACATAAAGACATCCATTAACATCATATGCATAACGAGATTAATCTTATTTGTCGCCTCATGTGCACCTCAGGAGCAAACACCCGTCATCTAGTGATGCTGTTCATGTTAAACGGTCCGAAACGATCATCGTTATGATGTCACGTGACACCGACGTTGATGTCTGAAACATTTAATGAATAGCTCCTCTTGGGACAGCGCCCTGTGCCCCAATAGAACGTGTCGGTGGAACGATGGCATATGTACGGCACGTCAGTCTACCAATAACATTCACGTGCCGGCACTTGCTGGACCGAACAATAATAATACCCAATTTTCCCGTTTTATCTTCTGTTATTATAACAATTATCGGACTCCACACATATGAAGCACGTGTTTGTCCTGCCATCTAAAATGTCAACACCACAAACCAGATGGTTCCCACCATATCGTTGGTACTGAGTGCCGTATTACAAATTGTTTAATATTGATATGGCGGAATTTAATCGGCAGATAATTATTCCAATTTTATCTTATATTCTTGTTCCTCAAGCATGGGCATTTTAACTTTAAATTTTAATCACTGTCATTCGCATTCTGTAAGTAATTTCACTGAAGTATATGTAAGAAATTACAGCTTTTTAAATGGTCATATGAATACTTCACATATGTACAGCTGGCCGCGCTTTGTTTTAGCACCTTAGATATGCTTAGATAGGTAATGGTGACATATTTATAAAAAAAAATTAACTGATGAAAACACGACATGAAAAAAACTTACCTGCGGTTGTAGTAAAAGCATGGAGCTGTCTATGCTACGGCCCGGAATTGGAAGAGTTGCGTCCCCTTGCGAGCGAGGGGAGAGAGGTATGACAGTTGAGGATGACACAGTTGCTACTACAGGTCGAAACCTATCGAGGCGTGTAGAAGCACTATCAGGTGACTCTTCCGAAGGTAATCCTAAAAAGAGAGTATTATTGAAAATTATTGACACTATATTAAGTGATCAAATTTCCATGGTGACAAGTGGTATTGGTCGTACATGTTCAGCATTCAGTGCCTCTTAAAAAACTGAAATTTTGAAAATAAATCACGTTTAAAAGTAAACTGTTAATTCATAATTGGCTATTACGATGCCTAATTAGTTTGATGCAACCGAATAAAATTGATTGCAAAACGAGATGGATCTGATAAAAAAAACCCACAAAAAATAAATGTTGGGACACAATTAGCGGTTCATGTCTGTCAGATCTCGCACAACCTCGTGTTGTTAAAGAAAACAACCATGACTGTTTTTGTTATCGGCAAACGACCTGTGGTTATTACGTCTTTAAAAAATAACAGAAAATATGTTGCTATATTTTTACAGTTGTGACGAAGTTGAATGTAATTTATTCATATCTTCTAATAAAACGTGCCGACCAAACATCAACTATTTGTGTGAGCCCTTGCGTGTCCCTGACCAATTGTAACTGTTCGCCATTACGCTGTCAAAATGAATAATTTTTGCAACATAAAATGTGGTTACAACAAAAGTTTCATTTGTACTGTTGTTATTAATACTTGGATATTTTTACAGACCACAAAATTGTGAGACGAAATGCTACTAATGATAAGGGAAAGCACTAGCTGGATGGGTAATTATCTAACGTGAATGTAGCGCGCGCTAGGCATGCGTACTACAGATGGTTTGTTTCAATACAAGGGGGCAAGTGTGTGTAAATTTGATAGCGATAATTAAATTTACAAAAGCAATGAGGTAATGTCTGCCGTTGTAAAACACACTTAAAAAGAGATACATGGTATTATGGCTTTCTTCCTAAATAACAAAACATGTCTTACAACTATATTTGGATTGGTGCATGTAGGTCAATCTATGGACGTAAAAAATATTGATTTTTCTTTATCCATTTACACTTTGAACTATAGTAAAATATATCAACTGAAAGCAAGAAAATTCAAAACAATTTTATATTTGTCATTGTTGTAATGTAATAACGATAAGCATTTCAGTTCCAGATCCTGACGACAGCAAAATTCGTTTTAGCCAGAGGTAAATTACATTTAGTAACTACACGTGGATAGAAATTAAATGATGTTAAAATGAATTGAATAAGGATTTGAAATGCTATGGCCTATTTCATTGATGAATGACAAGAATCACACTTTCAATATTCAAATACAATTCAGGACTGACCATCCAAGGCAGTGATCTTTCCGGAGATAAAACATTATACAATAAAGCACAGTAGACATATCGGGTCAATCTCACCTTCCATTTCCAATCTAACAAATCATTTGAAATAACATGAAACACCGAATGAACGAAAGGGGATGCTACCACACTACATATATGTTAAACTGTCTACGTCATTCACAACATCCGTATTTCATCATCAAAACAATTTTCTTTCAATTGTCGATTAAATACGTCATACAGAGGTGATATTTGACTTCAATCTACAGTTAAGTACTAATCGAGTTATTTTTCTTTTTTTTTCCAGCAATCTTATTTGCGCTTTTGTACCGATTCTGAACTCTCCTATTTTGTCACCTTAAGCTTTTCTCAATTATATTAACATGCATAAAATACTGTTATTTTAAAAAAAAACATTAAAAATGAAATACATTGTTAATGTTACGGTGTTACCGAATCTTTTACCCTGAAGCCATGATTATTTCAACATCAAATTAGTGAACATAAAAATTACTGTTTAATTCACATAGAAAAAGTTAGACTTCGGAAATATCTTATTTGAAAAATATATGTTGTAAAACTCTGTCTTGTACATCACTGTTATCACAAAAATATCAAAATCGTCATCGTCACCTTACATCATATTTACCTGCAAATTTGATTATGATTGCGAAAACTTCCAATAAATAAAATCTTTGGCCCGAGTCAGTGCCCTCCAGCAGTACTTTTACTCAATGTACAATTCTCATATTTAGAGACAAAATTTCGGTCAGGAGGCATATATTTGACTTTTCTTGTCTTACTGTGTAAATATATGTTCACTAATGCATATCTAGAACGTTTTACATTTCTTCGTATGTACGATAAAATTGCAATGCTATCTTCATTTACTTTTTAATTGATAACAAATGTACAGACATTTGCACTAATTTTTGTCGAGGAATATAAAATATATTTCAATGTGAATGTTAATGGGAAAAAATAAAAAAAATATACCATGTGCCATCAATATAAGTATGAATATGCTTACATAAAAATTGACAGATGCAATATCATCATTCTTTGAAAAGAAGTATATCACAAACTACAAAATATGAATTTCAAATAAGATGTATTGAAATGTTTCATATTCACCTACTATCGTATTCAGATCAATTGGTCAAGTATATATATATATATATATATCTATGTTAAACACTACTTACCGCTGTGACGACGCTTAAGCCTGCTATACACATTGATTTGTCTAAGCTAACACAGTGCTATATATCATGTTTTATATTTGTCGGGGACCAATGACCTGATAGAAAGATCATAAATTAGCTATTGATGTCGGTATTGGCTGCAGCACAAATCTGGGATGCTAACAGGAGCTAATGTGACTACGTCATTAGTAGAGACCACCTTCGAGTCTATTTGAAATCTCTTAACAGATATTGAAAAAAAGCGGAAAAAACCTTCCATTAGAAATTTATAATTAAAAACAGTATACGGGTCTTTATCCTCTTTTAGGGACGTGAGTGAAACTAAGTTTTTTTTAATATGATCGCTTTTTCTCTGTTTTTATTTCGTAACAATTTAAAGAATATTTTATGAAAAAAGGAAAGTGTGTTTTATATATCCAAGGTTTTTGGGATACGTACAGAGGAATATTGTAGTACTATCGATGTAATAAATAGGCACACAATATAAGAATATATAGTATAATGTAATCTTATCAAGACGTTATTCACAAAATAAACATTAAAAAGAAATACAATCTATGTTATGTTTTATAACTAAATACACTAATGATACATCTATGGTATATGTTTATAATTAAGAAATCTCTTTAAAAATATCTATAATCGAGAAATTTCTTTGAAATGTGAAAATAACAAATAACGTACACATAGTATGTAGTTAATTAGTACTTAAATATGTCAAGCCAATTCATTATCTAAACTTCCTGGATGATTATACAACTGCTTCCTACCTGTATATGTGTTTTAATTGACGAGTCCAGCAGAACACTGAAACAGCAGTATGATGAAATTGACTTCACTGTTTGTACTTTAAACTTTTTCCTTTGCCATAAACTTTGTGGTATTGCGGTTATCTATTAAAAAGTTTTGACATCAAAGTAATCTATCTTATACGTTTCTGATTAATACTGAAATCAGCGTATTAATTATGACTAACTAAAATGTCTTTGTTACTCATAATAATATTTATCGACAATTTCGTACAAAAAGTTTCAATTTTGAAATTGAAATACATTAGAACGTTTATTAGCTGTAATATCAATAAGCTGACATTTGACGGTGTCTGGGGACTGTCCAAGACAAGCGATCACCACAATGCCGTTAGAGACAATGCAGATCATATGAGAGTTGATAAATACCAAGGGTGACGACAGCATATGGACATATCCGATACACATTGCCAAGGTTTATAGTAAAAACAAAACCATCAACAAATAAATCAGGCAAGTGACGTCAGCAATGAAACTACAGAGTTTAATAGAAACATGGTTTAACAAACGCATAAAATTCCTTTTTTCAATATATGTATATATATTGATATAAATCTTTTAATCAAAGTACTTTTCCGCCAGTTGGGAGTCTGGAAACTGAAAAATCAAGCCGCTTTCTCGCGCTGAAAGGCGCTGTTAGCAGGATTGAACAAGCCAATCCGGCGTAAAACAAAATGAAGTATGTCATAAACATTGGAATATGGTAAATAAATGTCAAATATTTTTTGCAATGTTTTGTTGTAGCATATGCCTAGCCTAAGATATTGTAATAACATTAATTTTAGATTTATAAAACTTCTGAAAAATACTTTTGGTAACGACATGCAGCCATTGACACGGAGCAACCGCCTTATTACTGTATGGGTGTGCGAAATCATGCGCTTAAGTCAAATCAGTTGAAAAATCATCGATTCTTTTTTTTACTCAACAGATATGATTCAGAAATAACCCACTACCCGCATATATCATAATGGATTAACTTGGACAGGGATATATAGTCGATGTGGAGGTATCGAAATAGTATAATATAATCGTACCTGATTGTTTTATTTCAATTATGATCTTGAAGATAACATTAAATATTAACAGTACATCCATCTGTATTAATTTTCTCGACATACTACCCTTTATGAACTTGATATCTGAGAATTGCTGGCGATCATGTGGGATGCTCCCGTTTTTCAATAGATTGAACAACTGCGGTTTACGCTTGACAAACACCGTGTGCAGCACGTGTGATTTATCGGTTAACTATGCCTGGTGTGCAGCAAAGGCACGAGTAAGCGATATTAATTCATGTGTCAAGTGATAGTCGATCATTATTAATGAAACCGCTAATTATGATTGCAAGTGACTTATATTCGTCCTTACGTAGAACACTGTAGTGATCTAGATAGCTATCCAAATACAGCGCAATCGTAAAACTGGATTCTATCTAAACTATTTTAATTAACCACGAGTGTGCTTATGACTATTTAGTAAAACGGATTCCGTCAGAAAAAAACAAACTTATATACCATAGTCACAGTTTATACAAGTAACGTCTAAATATAGATTTTATTAAATATGTTTTACATTTTGGATAGTCACAGTTTATACAAGTAACGTCTAAATATAGATTTTATTAAATATGTTTAACATCTTGAATATAGGTTAATTTAAGGGAGTTTATCGCACGGACAGTTTCCATGCTGCTATATCAAATCATTTATAACAGGTCAATCCCCTTGGACATAGTTTTTTTTATAG